GCCAAGCTATGCGTCCGTGTTCCCGTTTAGCTCGGCTACGACGGGATTCGTATTGTTGACGCAGGCGATGATCACAATATCCTACTTCCGGACTCGCCGGTATGATTTAGCGCCATGATTTTAGTATCGCCGAAAATCGTAGCGTTGTGCATCTCCCTACTGATCTGTGATTCGACCTAAACCGGGTCCAAGTCGTCCAGTAAGGCCCGCCTCGCGAGGTATATCGCCATCTAGTGTTGAACTTCCAATCTTGATTTTTATATAGGAGGCCAGTTACTGGCACATGTTCCCCATTGGGGATACAGCCATAAAGGAGAGGAAGGAAGGATTCTGAAGGACTTGAGTGTTCAATTAATTATTAAAAATGTTCATAGTCGGTTTAACGGGCGGAATCGCTACTGGTAAAAGCAGCGTGGCTGCCGTGTTTCGTGAACATGGTATTCCTGTTATCGATGCCGACACGATTGCCCGAGAAGGTTAGACATTATAATGATATGATATATTGAATATTCCTATTGGTAGGAAGTAGTTACGAAAACGTTACATGATGCAGGTATGAAAGTTGTTCGAGCACTTCCAGTAGACAGATTTGAATTTTGCTATACGTCTTAGCAGGTGCTTAGTGGACGTGCGTACAATTTTTAAAATTATTTACTGTTTAGTTCACGAGATATACGGAAAATAATCAAACATGCATTGTATAGATATACTTAGCTTATTAAAGTAGTAATATTTTTTCAGATATCCGAGCTTCCAAGTAATAAAAGTGGATGAAGTTTGTAGGAGAGATTTCTTTTACATTAAACATTACCATAATTTTGAATTGAAAATCTCAGAATATTTAAATTATTTTTTAATGTCTCATTTAAGCAATTTGTAATATGAAAATTCAAAAACTTATAGATCTTTTTAGCCAGAGAGATATTGCTTGTCTCAAAGATTAAGTATACCTTATGTAGGAAATAATTTTGGAACGAACAATAATTATGATGCTCGGTGAATCATCTTAATATCTGTGTTTACTGTTATATATTTTATGATTCAACGTTGTTTCTAAATTAAATTTTTTGTTTTCGTAGTGGTCGAACCAGGAAAGCCAGCATGGCACAAGATACAGAAAGAATTTGGCCCTAAAGTGTTCCATGAAAATGGTCAGTTAAATAGAGCCAAACTTGGTGATATGATATTTGATGATATAGAAAAGAGGAGGAAGTTAAATGCTATAACACATCCAGAGATATATCGAATCATGTGCTGGCAGGCCTTTAAATATTTTCTTCTAGGCCACCCTTTTATAGTCATGGACTTACCCTTGCTCTTTGAAACAGGGCACATGTTGAACTATTTATACAAAATAATTGTTGTTACCTGGTACGTAGTATCTATAATATGACACTTTATATTTTGATTGATATACCTTTTCTGCTACGTTCTAATTATTTACTTTCAGCGAAGAGGATCTACAACTACAACGGCTCATGGAACGTTCTAGATTTACAGAGGCTAAAGCTAAACTACGCATTGAAGCTCAAATGTCTTTAGAAAAAAAGTGTGACATGGCACATTTTGTTATAGAGAATTCAGGAAGTGAGAAAGATGCTAAGGAACAAACAATTAGAGTGATTAATGTTCTAAGATGTTCTAAGCATCATTGGAAACTAAGATTTATTGTTGGCATTTGCTGCACTGTTTTATTAGCAGGCACGTATTGGATTAAAAATCGACCATTCAAGTTTCTTCCAAAACCTGCATAAGGATGGTTGTCTTCAGTTTGATTAGGTGCTCCTCTATGGCAATATCAATGCAAAACCAATGTTGGAAACGCAAAACTACTAAATGATTCGAAATCTGTATCGCCTCTCCAGTCCATCTAATGAAACTAAAAGCATGTCATTTGGACCATAATTGTTACCATTGATAAGTCACAAAAACATCAATTTCTGTTATTTTATGCACTGTAACACATTCACTACTTGGTAGATCTATCACATCTGGTTTTGTAATCATTGATATCCATAAGGCAACAGAAGCTGTGTATATCAAGAATATTATACAAGAATCAAAGATTGCAGTACGCGTAACGTTCCATATTTAAAAACTGGTTCAATAACTCGGATACGTGATAGAGTTGATAAAAAGATAATAACAAGAGTCAACTTGATTAACGAATTGTTGTACTATAAAATAATTACTTTCAGTTTTATTGGGTGTGGCACTGTCCAAAACACGTTATTTTATTTTCCATTTTGTTTATGCATTTTTATGATTCTTACTCTGGAATGAATGCATTCTATTCTTGTAAACGGTGAAGTGTAACCAAAATTACGTAATGTCTCAAGATATCAAATAATAAAAGATAAATTAGTAAAATTAGCAATTACTTTTGTTACTGTATATCCACTCTATCATTAGTGCTATTTAATGGCTATTCTAATACTTGCATGGGTTTCGAAAGATGAAAAGGTTATTGGCACGTATCAAACGAAATATTTACTAGTAAATAATTAAATTTACACTGATTTGCACACGATTCATTCGTCATCACATAAATGATACTAGGCGTGCAAGTGACGAAAGCGAATTAAAACCAAACTCGTATTGCATTTATTTGGTTTTGCGTGGCATATGCATTACAACAAAATTAATTTCTCATTTCTTTTCATTTATTTGTATACTTATCCATTCGAAATTAAACGTCAACTTCCCAATAATTCTAATCTATTTATATTTACTGTAATGCTGTCCGTTTTCTCTCTTACCTAATCGTAATAGCAGGAAGTACCGCGATAAGTACTGCATTTATTAAACTATTATTTATGATATAAGAATAATTAACTTATGAGTAATGGAAGTATAAAAATCCTAAGGTAAGGGAAAAATGGAAGCAACAAAATACTATTTACAGCAAGGCGTACAGAACATTCGTAAGGTTCACCTCTATCGACCGCAGACAGCGGTAAACCTTAAATCTCAGCACATCTATTATCCATCGACCTAACAATTTCCTTCAGTTCGTCTATTTATAGTTATACATTATATTACGAATAAAGAGTTATCTTTATTATTGAACGTTTTTTACACATTTTTATGACATTGCATAACGGCGCGTTGCTCATACGCAAGCGATGTGTTTTTGTATATACACATCACGATGATTATAAGAATGTAATTTATTCTCGCGAAAGTGCAAAAGCATCTTCGGCCATAATTGAAAATCTGTTACAGCTATAATATCCAATTATAGATTGTCTCCCTTATTGCGTTTGATGTACCCTTGATTCTTTGGTGATAGAACACGGCACATACCATTCGCGCTCGGCACAAGTATTTCCACTCGTTATCGGTGGTAATCATTCTCAAAACAATAAACAAGAGAGAATCAACAAATTTCCATGAAAACTCAAAATACAATTTTGTCCAAACTTCGGTGCATTACAGACTGTGCCAATTGATTCAAGAATATTATACAAATAACAATACATTTACTCGATTAATGAAAAATAAATGGAGAAGGAAAAAATCTTGTTACCGCTGTCGTTAATCAGGTATAAAATGAGAGACGATCATTACGGTTGTCCTGTACGAGGTGTCACATATGTTTCTACACGCCCCGATGCCTAGAAAGCTGTTCTTAGTCATCATATAATCTTTCTTACTTTCTTTCTTTCTTACTAGAGAAAATATTCCCGGTTTATCGGCCGTGCCATTAAACCCTACAGGCACCTATAGCTACGATCTCTGTAAAGCAGAACTACCAATCTAGTATCATTTAAATAAATATACAAACCGACTTTTGTATACGTTTTTGTGTATATGTTTTGCATATAGCATGGGCGTGTATTACACGTGTCTGTATACTATGTAGTATATAGCATGTCTATTAGAAATATATACTTGGATACGTTAGTTATATTTTCCTTGCTCCCTTAGAAAGTAACCTGGCGTCGCGACGCCCAATGAAGTAATTTCCTTAGACTTCGTTACTACACTCGGAGGTATTATTTGTGGAAAAACAAAATTCCGTGCAAAATGTGACGGCTTATTGCAAAACGGGCCTGAGTTCCTGAGTCATGATCGGATAGGAAACCATAGGTGCGGTGGCACCGGATATCGACAGTGGTAAATTAGCAGTTTGCTGAGAATTGGGCGGTTGCTGATTGGTCGGTTGAGGACCGGAACCACTCATGGTTATAGTCTGTTGGGCCATGGTAACAATAGGCGGTGGTATGGATACAGGGGCCATGGATACAGCTGCGATGGATACTGGAGCTACCGTAGCTATACTAACTGGTACAGTCGCCACGCTGGCTGTGACGGTTCTTAATGTACCAGCTGCTACAGCTGCGTTAACCATTTGCTGTGGCGTTGGTGCTTGCGAAGGTGGGACCGTATTTGTGATTGTTACAGCTGGAACTGTAACTGCAGTCACATTCGTAGTTCGCTTACCGGACATTCTCAGCTGAGCATTTTGGTCCAGAAGAAACTCGTTGGTTGCTGTTAAGTCACTGACCTGTTGGCAGAAATCGCTTTTAGTATCATTAGAAACATCACGTAAAACATAATAAACGTGGACCAAGAAAACTGTGAATCATTAGAATATTTTAGGAAAGAATTTCCTACCTGCTTTTTCAATTCTTCTATCTTCTTCCTTAACAGAGCATTCTCGTCCTCCAGAACTATGGCTCTTGCTTCGTTTCTAGGTATAACAGGGTAATAATATCCTGGAGTTACTGGTTGGGCAGGATGTTGCCCAACAAGAGGCGAGGCTTCAAAGTGTAGAACGGCTTCACCGGAAACCATTCTTCTCTTCGGATCCGGTGGCCCCATATAATCCGGAGGATGCAAGGAAGCGCTGTATCCATTACTGGCAACGAGTGAATGCTGATCCTCCATTTGCCAGTGGTAACTGAAAGGTAGTAAAGGATAAACGTCATAAAAATACAAATAGCACCATATAAGAATCATTGACCCTGACAAAATTATATATAGCTTCAATGCAGTCAGGAAACATCTCCGGAGCATTGGATCATAATATCCTTGCCCCGTGTCCTAGGTATAGACATATCTAACCCATCCTGGCACAATTTCATATCCAGTTCTATCTACGACCAACGATTCATTTAGACAGTTGCAGTGTGCATTTATCTCCATAACCCTCATAGACCAGTACGATGGCTTATGCAATAGGTTTTCTATTTATATTTATATAAACCAGCATCCAGCATGTTAGCTTAGCTTAAATGCGTCAACATAACGAGGTATAGCAACCAAGAATAATATCACGTTTTTGTTAAAAGAAAAAAAACGGATTTTAATTAATACTTTAACATGCTACGTTAATAGAGCATAACGTTATGTTTTATCAATATGACATTGAGATACTTACTTCCTATCCTCCTCGTATCTACGGTTATCGCCATTATTTGTACCATTGAAATTATGCTGTGGTCGTGGCGTATTATGCAACGACGTCGGGACGATATTAATCTGTTGTTCCTCCTTCTTGAAGTGTCTATATTTACAATTGACTCTCTGGCAGCTACCCTTTATGAAGTCCTTGCAGAGTGGATACTCAGACTTCTCGCCGTTGTTTTTAAGGTTGGTTAGGATATGCGGTGGCAGCTCGCCGGTAGCTCGAAAATGTTTCTCCTCGCTTTCGGTACAGTGAAGAAATCTGCAACCGGGCCAGTTGCATATACCATTTTGAAAGTCATGGCAGAACGTGTACTCGTCCACGGGATCATCCTCGGAGCGCTCGTGAAGGTACTTGCAACGTTTTCCTCTGTGACAAACATTGCGCAAGAAGTCTCTACAGACACGACTGGGTGACGAATCACCGTTTGTCGTATTCAAACCGCCTGCCATATTGGCGCTTTGCCTGGCGGCTGGCTCCCCGTTCGATTTTTTCTTCATCAATGCGACATCGCAATCGGACTTCGTATGCGCGCTGCCTTTAACGAAAACTGCAGGCTATTAATAATCCACTGCGATCCAAGAGGAGTAGACGTTCCTTTGAAAAGCGACGGAAGACCTTATACTCCTGGGAAAGGAAAAAAAAACACGAATAAATAAGAATAAGACCATTGCGCAACGTACATTATAAAACGAACGAGCGTTTTTTATAATTTTTTATCTTTGCACAACAAAAGTATGAAAACTAAAACTTTATATAGATCATTGAATAGGATATGGAAAAATCTTTTTCTCGGTCTAGTATATGGTAAAACAGAGATCATGAAATACGAGTGATAAAGTGCAACTTGGAACCCATTGAATCAGCATTTTCTTGCTAAGTGGTGGAATGCCAAGGACGACGCTCTCGTAACCGGGACGAAGTCTTTAACATATATGATTCGTAATGACTGCGTTTTGTGAGAATTGATGTTACAGGAAGTACGGAGGATCAGAGATGACCGAGGCTATTGGATAATGCGAATTAATAGTGGAAGATCTGTGAAATTAAATAACAGGTAATGAAGCGTATGGTCTTAATTAATTTAATTTTTATTTTTTTTTTTTATATAATGACTGTTACACATGTGGTAAGATTATATCAACAAATTATATACAGAGTTTAATCGCTATAATTATCGTATTGCTTCGATCTTCCAACAAGTCAGCTCCGATAAACGACGGTGAGCTGGAGTTCTTATTGGAAAATGGAACATTTTGAATTATATATATATATATTTTTTTTTTTCAATTTTCTTTTTGTTTCGTGGCAGAAATTGTACGGGCAATGGCACGCTACAAAAACCTAATCAGATATAAGAAAATACAGTAAATTTTAATCGTATTTGTATAAAAAGAATTAATAGAAAAAGTTTAATGATAATTTATTTAAAAATAGGAAAAGAGATACCTAGGCCCTTCGTTTGAGTGACACGCCAGTACGTTCGTGGCTATTTAGAATTATGAATTCAGGAGGTAGAGGAAGAGAGGTAGAGGTAACAAGGGCGAGTGGATTTACTAAGGACATGATCAGGATTAGGATTAGGTATACTTCGATGGTGACTTCCTATAGAACGGTGTTGCGATTTCGACACACGGCTCCGAAATAATATGTGTATATTGAAAATAATATTAATTAACATTAAACGTAAAAACGCGTCGGGCTCGTCATAGAAAAGTCGCTACGTTCTAAGAATCGAATAACCTTGCATCAAGAATATTGCAAGCACTTTAAAGAGAGAAAGAGAGGGAGAGAGAAAGAGATACTGTCACTCCAAGATGGCGGCGCAGCAGACCCTCAACGTGAAGAGAATATTTCTTTTCTTTTTTTTCAAAAAAATAAAAAAAGAAACCCTTCCTCTATCGGACGAATTAAGTCACTGTAATAACGACAACAAAAATTTTAGTTGCAGCCGCTTCCTCTCAATTTACGATTATCAAACTCAATGACAAATTACTGATAACGTATTCGATCCCTTCGACCAAACTGCCGTTTTAGATAAGAGTACATAAGACGTGTATTTTCTTCTAATTTGGAAGTACATGGACAGGTACGTCCCAAGAAGAGATATGACGATACTGAGATTGGCAGCATGTTGAACATTTTATGTGGTACTGTTTATAACCCTTCTAACGCAGTCGCTATCCTAAATCCATGTGAATTTACATTATTTACTTAAAAAAAAGGTGTCCTCATTTGATTTTGGTTCCTCTGAACGTTAGATGGTAACGTGATAAACGTCTCCTATTATTCCAGTTTTTCATATTTCATTTTTATATTATTATATAATAATCCACAGTTTGCCTGCTCGGAGCTGCGTAGATAATTCTCATTTTGTGTATATTCTTTTTTTCGTGTAGGATTTTTAAATTTAACCTTTAAAATTCACGTACTTATTTACATAGCTCTAGCACTCGTATAAAAAAGGCTTCGTTTCAACGGAAACTACGCATCGGATATTCTCCCGCTTCACTGTCTTATGTCGTTCGCAACGCGTTTTAAAGGGACCGGGAGTTTACGCGCGTTGCGTATGCCCGTTGTCCGTCATCGTCGCCTCTTTCGAACGGATCCTCCTAACGCGCGAAAGCTATATGTACAGGGTGATTGATTCGAAATTGTTGTAAACAAACTGACAGAGATGAATAATAATTGTCCATGTGAATTAAAGGCGAAATACTTGACACGAGACTCGATCGTATTTTCTTAATTAACAAAGGACCTCATAATTTCACATAGCCAATGTAACTTTAATTCAAACCTATCTCAATCTGACTTTGGCTTCTCTTAAATTGAACGAATTTGTATAATATAAATATTTTCACAACCAGAAAAAAAAACAATAGACACGTAACAGAAACAAACAAATATAATAACTCTTATTCTCTTCTTTCCTAAATTATAAATAAATTATATCCTGGCAATCACTGCGCTACGAATCAATCACCCTATACATGAAATTTGAGAAAACATTAGAACATCTTCTCCAGGAGCATCCATATCAGCGCTATTACAATAGGTACCACGTATTGTATCGGTACAGTATAGGTCGAACTTAATAGATCTCCGCATTGTGCCTTCAAGGATTCATATTTCTTAACTAATTCGCTCTTCTCTTCAACGAAGACGTTGCACTTCTCCTTGAGGATGACCAATTCCTCATTAACTTCCTGTATCCGCTGCGTCTCATTTTTAGCACGGTAGTACAGCTCCTTTAATTTACCAATAACGGTTTCGTTCGACTCGCGAATTAACCAATCTCTGAGTTCATCCAATTCCTTCTTGACGAGTTGTTGCGCTTCCAGGTCGTCATCTCCACTGAGAGAATCCAGGGAACCTATTAGGGTCTGCAGCACGTACTCTCGGGAGTGTAAGCTCTGTTGCAGGGAGTCACTTTTTGATAAGGGCTTCAAGGTCTTTATATAATCACCATCGAGGTGTTCACCTTCGCACTCTTCAACCTCGGCGCTCTCTTCTTCATCACCTATTGAGACCTCATCGAACTTATTATCTTGATCCGTGGCTATCACAGTACTTATTGATTGGCTATCAGTTCTTTGAGAATCGACATTGTCATCCGTCGATTCCGGAACATCGACGTCCTCGCATAATCCGACGATCGGATCATAATGTACTTCGAGTTGCTCTCCGTTTTCATCACTTGCAAATCTAACCTCTAATTTGGCAGGTGGATTAGGAGCCTTGGTCGGTGTGGAATTGTCGTCATCCTTCTTCACCTCGATGACGGATTTCTCACTGGTGTCGTCACTGGCAACGCTCCACGTGTCGTCAGTCGCTTCCGAATTGGCATCCGTTTCGAGACTGATATCTACCCCGTCAACATTTGCATTTCCGTTTACTAATGTTCTCCGGGAAGCCGGTGGCAAAATGTAATCATTGTCTGCTAACGAAACATCAAGAATTCTTTTGACGAAGGTGGACTCTGAGCTGACATTTTTTGTTTGGTTCGAATCATTATCCTGAGAGATCAATTGATTATCTTGTTTCGTTTTACTCGCGTAGAAGGTCACTGTGTCGCTTTCAAAATTATCTACAGGCATTGAGTTGAGCTTGTTGAGAATAACGTTTATCGCCTCCTTCATCTCATCCTTAGATTCTGAATTCTCATCGGATATGAGCTTTGCGTTCATGTCCTGAAGAGTTTGCATGTAGTTCCTCAGTGCAGATATTTGCTTGTGAATATTAACAGAGTCTAGCTTTGAGTCCCTCAATCTTGCCTGCAAGTTCCTCTCGATCATTGATTGATCCTCTACTCTCCTAAGTAGATCCTGCTTTTCTCTTTCGAGTTTTTGTATCGCTTCCTTTGCTTTTTCCTCATTATCTACCAACTGATTACGCGTCTCTTGTAGCTTCTCCTGGGCCTCGGTATATTTCTTAGCAAGCTCCTCGAGCTCCGCTTGACTCTGTTTCGTTACCTCATGTAAACTTTGACATTCTTCCTCGGTTTGGTTGAGCTGTCTCTCAAGTTGAGCAACGCTCTGCTTTACCTCGAGCTTTTCTTGAAGTATCTTCTGTAGCGCCTCTTTTGCAGCTACCTGATATTGACCCTTCTCCTCCTCCAATTTTGCTAGCTCGTTTCTTATTTTATCCTTAGTGAAAACCTTGGAGTAGGCCGCAAGCTGACTCTCGACCGTTTTGACACGTGACAATAGACGATCCTCATCAATCAATGCTTTCCACGATTGGTCAGTAGCCCACCTAGCACGCTGTACTAATTGTTGAAGATAATCCAATTTATTATTCAATGCTTTCTCACGTCGATGAGCCTCTCGCATGCATTGATTTAACTTATACAAATCCTCTAAGGATATATTGCCAACGATACCAGCCACTGAAGTACTGGGACTAGCCTTAGCCTCTTTCCCATCAGGCAGGTACAATCTCAAAGTAGCGACTATACATCCATGTGTGACCTTCTTTGTGTTTTCTACAACATCCACACCAAACTGCACTATGTCTCCGGAACACACTTCACGGTCAGAGGATTCATCACCAGACAAACTGAGCCTCTGATTATTCACAAACGTTCCATTACTGCTTTTTGTATCCTTTAGGTAGAATTTTCCAGCATTATACCATAGTAATGCATGATTCCTAGATAGAACCTTGCAATCAAAGATTGCATTATCTTGTGCAGCCCGTGCCCTTGCCACCGAACGTCCTATTTTAACAGGCTGGTCTAATATCAAGGTTCGTTCTTGAAATGGATGAGAGTTATCTCGACAGATTAGAACTGCCTTGGCCTCCATGTTGTTATTCTGTGCAACAGTGGTATTCATGTTGGAATTGTTCTGAGTGGTGGAATAACTGGCATTTTGCATCCAACCACCACTAGCTACAACCATAGCCACCAGTGGATTTTGGAGACCTTATGGACTGTTAAAAGATTCTTCGCTTTAGCCGAAAGCCAGACACAATATGATGCACCAAGAAAATTATATCACTAAAAAACTTGTACTCTTGATAGATCATTTAAACTTGTAACAATGAAATATGCTCTTGGAATAATTCTATTGTTCCACGGAGCTGTCCATTCTCAATTATCCTGAGATACTAAAATTTTCACAGTGGTTTAGTATTCTTGCAACAAAGATTCTTACGTTAGTTACAGTATCCACAAAGTTTTAAATATATCTTGAAAACTGATAGATCCACTGACTATTCGGTGAAAGGGCTTGTTAAAAAAACAGCATACCACAGTTCCAAGTCCATGTGTGGATAGTAGCTACGCCCACACTACTTAAATAGCTGGTTAAACCAGAATCTTGTCAGTGATGCAGGTTCAATCAGGAAGCCAGAGGGTATATTCCGATCCAATCACGACAATCGCTATGAGATCTCGAGAGCGTATTGCGCCAAGAGTAAACACAATGCAGGCAGAATGAAGGGCGAGTAGTCTGGCATATTTGTACGATGAAAAAAAATCTATTTCGCTGTGAGTAGTAGCGAGACTTCAGAAAGTTCAGAGGAGCACCTGACTGATACGCACAGGGATGGTATATTTTTCGTGGCGAAGACGAGCAGTGTAATGTTCACGTGGACTGTGGTGTGATGTCTGAGCTTTTTTTAGGTAGGATAATTATGCAAAAACTCCGGAGCTAGTAGACGGGCTCGGGAGGTAACTCTGTAAGCAGAAGAGGTACGAAACGACCCAGGCTTTCACACAATATCTTGTTCGACGATTTTGCCTATGGCGTGTCCCATGTCGAACGAAAACTCGCGCATTATACAGAGCGCGAGGCTCACGTCGCCACAAAACACCTCACACCCAAGAATAGGCTATCGCGAACGAGCCAATTAAATGTCTACAATTGGGAGAAATATTCCGTAGAAATACAGTGGTCCGCGTTCCTTCTCTTCGTGCGAGATAGAGTTCCGCGTTCCGCTGTCTATCGACCGCTGCCGGTACAGTCGGGCGCACGAATATGGAGCGTCTACACGATTAATAAAGTCCCCTTCAACCCCCTTATCATCTTCGTCACTTCTTTTACTACTGTTGCTATTACTTCTTTGTCTGGCCATATTAGTCACTGTGAAATACACTTATCATCGCATATTCTTTAACCAATGCAGTCATTTGGTTGGGGGGGGGGACATCGTACATCACGCTTTCCAATGATACAAAGAAGATTCTGGCGTTCCGATAGACTTTCTGACACTATTCTAATGACACCATAGAATCGAACTGACGTGTGCAGAGAAAGACATCGGCAATTATTGTAAGACTAATTTAGATAAGAATTTCATATTTTTGATAACTTTTGAAGCATAGAAATTTCTTTTGAGCATTTCACCAAAATTGAAAGCAGAAATCGGAATAATACTAACCACTCTGCGAGAGTTCAATGATTCTTAAACTTATAGTTAAATTATTTGGAGATTCATATAAACTTGCTAAAATATATAGTGGGTGCTCCGAACTTATTGAGTTACAGTAATACTTGCAAAATAGGTCATTTTCATAGAGTCCGACATATTCGAAAATAGAATATACTGTTCTTTTATGAAGATAATTATGGATAGACGTGTTTGCCGCGACTATGTTATTAATAGGCAGAATCTATATCCATTTTCGTACTGACGGATCAATTTCCTAAACATATTTTCAAAGGATTGTAGAAACTGGTAGTAACAATACATCACATACTTTAGGGTCTACGTTTTCAGCAAAGCCGATATTCTTAAACGTAACCTAAGTGAAACTCTGTGACGCGTACATCAATTATTTAAATAGACGGAAAGTTAGTATTTTAATATGAATATAACAAATTGAACATTGCATATAAAGTATAAAAAAGTTCCTCGGTCGTGTTGCATATGAGTTAAATTTATATATTTTTAAAAACTATTCCAATAAGACGTGATTAATTAAACTTCCTTGAAATAGTAATTTGTATTTTCTTGGGTACATAACATGGAACAGTTTCATAATTACCACTATTAATACTATTTCTATCATTAAATATATTTGAAGATAAATATTGAGTTCTTGTAAACTCAATAGGTTATATTTGATCAACTTTCCTTTCTGAATCTTCAGTTGCAAAAATGTCAGATGAAGAGGACTATATGTCAGATAAATTTTTGCAAGGAACTGAAAAATATATTGCTCCAAGCCTTATACATCGACATGCTGATAAGAGAGAATTGGAGTTACTAAAAAAGAAAGCTGAGATTGAGGCAAGATTAAAAGAAAAAAACAAATCCGTCCGAGCAATAGAAGAAGAAAAAAGAGAAGAGGGTCTATCGTCAGCAATTTCAAGCAACAATAAAGGTTTATATTTTATGAATATTCAAAATCCCTAACCACAACATCTTTCAAAGTATAAGATACCATAAAACTAAGCCATACAATAATATTTCCAGGTTTTGAAATGTTGATGAAAATGGGATACAAGCCAGGTCAAGGTATAGGAAAAAGAGAAACAGGTATATCTGAACCAATATCTGTAGATGTCAAGGCAAATAGATTTGGTTTAGGAAAGAATCCAAAAAAGAAGTTGACCAGTAAAAATAAGAAACCTGAATCCAAGTTAGAGGATTTAAACACAGATGACTTCCGTGGGAGAATTGCACAAAAGAAGTCGGAACACTTAACGGAGGCAGATTTGTACAAAAGTCAAAAAGTGTGTGAACAGCTAGACACGCAGAACCAGATAGAAACACCAACTGAACTTTGGTTCTGGCCTGCAAAACAACAAACTAAAGGCAGCGACGATGAAACAGACAACGATGAGGATGAAGAAGTACAGGAACAGGAAGAGTTAGCAGCAAGTGAAAAATTAGAAATTCTCACCAAGTACCTGAGAGATAAATACTCTTACTGTTTGTGGTGTGGTGCAGCATACGATGACGAAGATGACTTAAGAGACAATTGTCCTGGTACAACAAGAGATGATCACTGAGCACCTCTCATGATTACATGATTCCAGTTGTGCCAGTGATAATTACCAGTGTAAATTTCATAACAAACATCACAAACAGTACAGTGACTTTGCCTAGAGGTAACTTTAATACTTAGAAGGCAACACTGATTAAAATTGATATATAAATTTTCGTCTGTAGTTTAAGTTCTCTCCCGTTGTGTAACAAGACATAAGAACGCTATTAAGTACACGATGCAAAATATTTGCCGGAATAAAATCCTCTGCTACAAAAAAAAAAGGGAAAAATGTTCTCAACCCTGACAAAGATATAAGGTGCAGGGAAGTGATCTTGTATGAAACGTGCTATTAAGTCTTCACAGGGGTTCCAGCACCCTGAGGTGTAACACGAGGGTGGGAAAAACTGACTATAAAAGCTCCAGTTTGATATTTTCTGCTTTCACTTTGAGTTGTGGCTTCGACGAAAGCCCCAAGGACTCTAAATATTTCTTTCAAAGCGTAACGAAGATAACTGTAAGAAGCACTAATAATGTTCGCATTCATTATACTCTTATTAGCATTAACATCTTTCTGCATTGTTGGTACCAATGCCCAATCTGAGAGAGATGAGAATTGCGAAACCCTGCAGTCTGAGATACATATTACTAAAGGTAGCTTCTTTGAAATAAAAGTGACTCAAAAACCACGTAGATAAACTTGATATAGGAAAACATGATTAATTATTACAGAGGAATATGACGACGTAGGACGACTGAGGAGAACATGCGGCGGCGATATCGCGGTTACTAAATGCGAAGGTTTCTGCACTTCGCAAGTGCGACCGAGCGTTGTCACCACTACAGGATTTCTTAAGGTAAAATGAATGAGCTTTACAAATGCAAAACAAAATTTCCATTTAAAATATGAGCAAATAAACAGTTATCCTTTTTATTTTATTCAGGAGTGCTACTGCTGCCGCGAAGGATATCTGAAGGAACGTACTGTCTTCCTGGATCACTGCTACGATGCCGATGGAATCAGATTGGAAGACGAAGAGTTTCGTTTGATGGAAATAAAACTGCGAGAACCAGTCGAATGCAAGTGCTACAAATGTGGAGATTTTTCAAGATAAAGACACTTCTCAAAATTATATCTTCCACTGAACGACTTCAGCCCTTTTTTATATTGCCAGATTATGTAATGACTATGTATGCTGTATTACCCATGCTACGTGATTAATTGAAACGAATGCTTGTAATTATTATTGTGAATAAAGTATGTTTTCGAAAAAAGATTCATATACAAGTGCAATGTTACTCTACCTATTTATAATTAAGTTATACTAATATTCACACATTGATAAAATTCAACGATTAGAACAAAACAAATCATTATAAACTGCAGTCATAGTTTGAACTCAAAGTCCAAATAATTTTAGGATTATGATGATATTAAAAATTTCTTCTATTACAAATCTTTCATCTATATCGATACTCGCAATGCCCAGATTACATAAAAGTGCCTATGTGCCTATTGAACCAGTCAGTAACAAATTTTGCACAAGAATTCATTTATATGTTTAATCAATATCTTACATATTAGAAAGCCAGCAGCAGACATAACTGACTTGTCCTAAATACTTATTTAGTAGAACAATTCAAAGATATTAATAAATCAGTAAGTGTTGTATTATTATGACATATTTATTTTGCTTTTGCCAAGAGAGCATATTCCGTTACGGGAGAAGAGAGCATATTCAAGCAAAATTTTGTTAGTTTATTAATCTCGGCTTTGATGATTATTTCTGTGAAAAGAGAAACTTGTATGATAGTTACGCGTCATCTGCAATTTGTATATGAAAATAATAAAAACATCGTTTAGCATCATTATAATGTATAGAGTAATAAAGTAGGCTTATGCTGAAACTAGTTGCTAACGCACTACTTCGTAAAATGCTTTCAATCGTGGATGTGTGTATGTTTATTGGTCACATGGTAGATGCGTTGAGTGTAAACAACGATAAAGCATTAAATGACATTGTTTCAGCCCTAATACTCAGCATGGGATCCCAAAGTACAATAACCAAGGGGTGGCTGAAGTGGTTCTCAGTTAATACTGATGCAAGAGATTGAGCTGCATTTACAAAATGAGAATAGAATTCCTTCATGGAAACCATTTCAGGAACTGTTGCATACTTAGAATGATGATATAGACTACATGGTTTTCACATAAAACCTATAAATGTTTTCATACGTTAAAGCAGTCCCCCATATATATTTTTCAAATAATAAATTATTATATATTATGCTATTATTTGTCTGTAATATGTATGATATCTATTATGAGTAAACAGTTCAGCACATAAAGAATTAATCAGTTTCAAAAATACAGTTAAAGATTTTGGTTAAGGGAACTTCAGAGCTCTTTGTCCCCTCCACTTTTGACATGGCTCAGGGGAAGCTTTCAGTGGGGGTTAAATGGGGTTAGCTACAGGGTATAAAAGATCGGAGCACACAGGGTATAAACACAGTAACGTGTGAACTAATAAGCAAAATGGACCATGCACAGAAAATAGTCTCCTATCATATTGGTAAATGACATAAAATGTTAAAGATTTACATAATTTTTCTGCTTAGCTGATTTTTTGGGAACCATATGCATTATAGACAATAGATATGCCTAAATCGCATACTCAAATAATCAAAACATAATCCTATAGTGAACGATAAGATTATAAAAAATTTAACAACTAGACTAATATTTTGTAAACACTTACCAAACAGCAATTACAGCGATCCTGATTTGTTGTCTCTATGGAAACGTTACGGCAATTGTTGGGGTCGATGAATGTCAATTAACTCCTGTTATCCACTTCCTTCAGTATCCAGGATGTATCCCAAAGCCGATACCCAGTTTTGCCTGCAGTGGTCGCTGTAGCAGCTATTTGCAAGTAAGTAGATAAGAATATGCATCAGTAAATTGTCTAATTGAACAAAATGTCTTTGCTATTTTTCTTAATTAATAATAATGGATCGCAACCTGCATCACTTGTACCCAGGATCCACAAAAATTTAATTATATGATCTCTTCAAAAAACGTTTAAAAAATAAGGATTACAAAGTACAAACAATGTGTCATAATTCACATAGAATTAAGAAATATTAAAAGAATACCATAACTTTTTAAACATTCTTAACATTGTCTGTAAATTCTTTGTGGGTAAACAGAGATATTATTACAGAATTTTGTCACAGATATCCCTTGCTTAAACACAAGAAATAAACAGGAAAATAACCTAAATGCTCATAAAATACTGTTATTGGTACCTGTTCACGTAGGTATCCGGCTCGAAAATTTGGCAAATGGAAAGGAGCTGCATGTGTTGTCAAGAAAGCGGCGAGAAAGAGGCCACTGTTGCACTCTTCTGTCCGAAAGCAAAGCCAGGCGAACGAAAATTTCGAAAGGTAAACTCAATACACCCGATTATTTCCACTTCCTTCAAAATAGGTAAAATATTCGTCTTGCAGACCGAAAAATTGCGATTCACGACAAAACTACAAAAATATTTCCTAACACCACGAGTTTGGCACTGCCATGTTGTTTTCCGTCAACGTGCTCGAGGAACGCGCAGAAATTGGACTAACCGCGAAATTCAAATACTATCAGAATATAAATTTAATTACTTTAAAAGAAGAGAACCGTATTAGAATTGCTAATAAGGTCTATGCTTTAGATTCATTAATTCCTAAATCTTACACTCGTAAGATCAGTCTAACCACGATCGATAATCAAATGCATAGAAACACATAAGTATAAACTTGTGAGTTTGAAAACCGCTACACCCTACCATCGCTATATGGCTAGTACAAACATTTGAATAAATATTAAAAGATAACGTAAAAACACAATAACTTATTTTTAAAGTAATTGGCATGACAGAAATCTAAAGAAATTGTTAACACTTTATCTACCCCTTTGTGTGGCAGCAGCAGTGATTGTTTAATCTCTTGTTTTATTATCATTGTTGTCCATTATTACAGGTAATCACCAAAGCGCCATTGGAATGCATGTGCCGTCCATGCACAGGAGTCGAGGAATCTGCCATAATTCCTCAAGAGATCGCAGGTTTCGCCGAAGAAGGTCCCTTGACCACGTCAGCGCACTTCCGAAGATCGTCCGGACTCCAGTAAATGTCGATACTTTAATAAGGCAACATAATCAAACGTCCTAAACTATGCTGGATAAAACTACTTAAAGAAAAGAGTGACAACGATCACTATGAAGACCCAAAAGTATAATAATAAAAGATAAGTGATGACACCTATATATGTGAAGATCGTTGTAAAAGATTGTTATATGAAATAAATGTCTGTGAAAAAAGAGGTGACGGATTTTGGTATAAGGTAATTACGAATGATCCAGTAGAAACGAAATAGAAACAACTCAAGAAGTAGCATGGAGATGTTTTTTTTATTTTTATTTTTTTTTCATCACTGTGATTACGATTTGTATAGAAGTGTACGCGTATATGCATATGTCTGCTGCCGTGTTCTCTTAATGTTTACATACATGAATATACTTATGCATACATACATATATACACATTGAATTTTTGTATGCATATAATATACATATATATATATATATATATATATATATATATATATATTATATTATTACAACATCAGCAGAGGAATGAACGGACGCCGCTAAAAAACACGTGTTCCCATATGCTTGGAAAGCGTACGAGTGGTCCAATAACAGCCTCTGTCTTTATATCTATATAGATCGTCCTTCGTATTATCGCGATTGATGATTTAGTTTTATATTTACAGTTATTACGTTATTACGCGCACACTCGGTTTATCCACGACTATTTAACATTACTGTCACTCTTATTGTTCATGCGTTTTTCAACAAACGTGTACGAAGCGTAACATTTCGTATGGAGAAAAATCTGCGGAATTCACTAGCAAAAAAAATTGTGTCGACTTTAATCGAACTTTCGTATAAAGTTCGGTGCTCGGAATTACGCTACGTACGCGTTTCTATAGATTCCCCTTTTTAGTTTATCCCCTTGTACATAAATAATATTATAAATTTTACTTTTAGTTTCCTTGCCGCATGTAATTTGAGCGCGTTCGATTCTTTCGCAATAGCGTCTATCCAACAATGGCGTCGTTAATCGTAGACAATAGCGATTCCGTATCGAAATTTTTATATATTTTCTCGTCGTTTTAACGCTCAGCCCATCTCTAAATTCGAACCTCGACTTTTAGGTATCTTAGGATTATCGTTAAATAACTGTAACAGTACAGTCACGCTGTTATCGCTGCGTTTAATCGATCTCGTGCGTGCATTGTCGCGTGTCTTTTGAATTGTGTGTACGAAAAAAAAAGAGAAAATGACAGTTACGCAATTCTGATTTACCTTTAATGATCTCGCAAGTTCAGCTCCAATATTTTGGAAGATACACGTGTAAAAGGCTCTGTACACTACAATGCTTTACAAGTAGGCATTTCAAGTTTTCAGTACAATGAAAACAGGTTTTACTTTCTACGCGTTAAAATGATCAGTCGACGAAACGTTTCTGTTTAAATTAACGCCAAGTACGAAAACTGTATTGCGGATTTTCATTATTTCACGACTCGTTACAAATAACGCCTGCGTTTACAATTAACTCTAAGGATATCCGTGCTGCGTGACAGGTAAATAAAATAAACTCCCTGTACCAGTAGCTCTATTTCTCTGCTATACCTTTCTGCGGAACAGCACGCGAAGATTGTTGTGAAAATCGAAATCCGACGCGCAGCGTAAGAATAGGAAAAGTTATAAATAATATATATTTGTATAAAAGAGTGAAAGGCGGAAGGGGAGTATACACAGGGACAATTTTGTTTTGTATTTCTTTTTTTTTTTCGTAACGGCAGAGCTGGAGGGTTTCATGCATTTGGTGCGACATCATAGGATATCAACGTAGAAATTTCGATGAATCAGATTTCTGCTGACGGCAAATGGGATTCTTTTTTTCGTCGATGCACAGAGTCAGTAAAGGAAGCAAAAGACACGGGGACTTTCGTCAATAAATTGTTATCGTATCGAACGAAGACTATTATTCCACTCAGGAGCGGATAGGAATATATTGTGGTTGAATTGTGCACTGGGTGTTTTTCTTTCTGACTTTCTAGCTTCCCCTTTCGTCCTATCTCGCGTTCTCACGCGTGCCGCCTTGTATAAATTATCAATTAGATAATTAAAATGCAAATTAAAGTGGTAATTACAAGATTTCGCTGCGAATACGTAACCAGATTTTGATTTATGCAAAAACAGAAACAAATTCGCATCGCCATGTTTCTATTCGAGTTACGCGCCTGACAATTAAATAAAAATAAAGATAGCGTCTCAATAAATACACAATATTGTATTAATTTTGCATCCATATAATCAAGTTCTCTTCAGCTTTGTGTCAGCTGGTCGTGTTTCTCGGAACGCCCTAAGCTGGAACTCTTTAGAGACGCTGATTGTTGCCAAAAAGAGAGAAAATAACCTCAACGACCCGCTTGTGACACTGTTACAAGAGCCAATATGCAAAAATTATACATTATCTTTTTCTCACTATGCCATTGTCCACTAATAGGAAAAATCATTGCAAGCTTTCAGCCTTGTTTATTATTAGGATTTTCCATTTTCTTTAACTTCATGTATGATTCGTATGCGAAGGTTAGTTTTTTTTGACAGAATTTATATGCCTATGGATGCATTTGAATCTTGTAATACGATACCCAGAGATACGTAACAAAGCATCCTTTTGCTTGTAATAATGCTACAATACGTCGAATAAATTGTACCGTCAGTTGCAAAGCAACGGTTATATTGAGAAAAGAAAAAGAAAATAAATAAAAGGTTATTTTCAGCCTAGAATTTCGTGTAACCGCCGGTTAATTCTTTCGACAGACATAAAAACGTGCTGTCGCTTTATAGACATTTTTTTCTTCGCTTTATTTAAACTTTAAACCATTTTAATGAACTATGTATAATAATAATTATCTTGCATTTACTTCGGTATCATAATTACTAATTAATCATTTATCATTATTATGTATAGCGTATCTCAAATAGGGAAAGTGTGTGTCCAGTGTTACTTTTTTTTTCATTCATCACTTTCTCTATCTTCTCACGTCACCTCCTCCACCACATGATCGTCATAGTTCTTTCTTTTTCTTCAACGTATTGTTATTGTTGCTCTAGACTATAATACATACACCCTCGCACAACCACCACTACATTGTCTCTTCTTCAAAACTTTTACAGTATTTTTTTTTAAAACACAACTGTAATTTGGCCTCACTTCTCGTCTTTAAAGGGAAAAATAGTTTAAGTCTTTGTATAATTTGTATAATAATAAATTTGTATATTTTTTTCTCGTTTTTGCTTTTTTTTTTTTAATTTTTTTAAACACGAAGAGAGTCGTGTGCACAGGGGTGTTTGGAACGACCGACAAGCGAACTCTCGCCTCACTCTTCACAATCGAGAAACCATGGCCGCTGCGACGGTACGACCAGCCCTCACGCCTCCTCGCCACTATCATCAGCCTCCTTCAATGCCGTGAAGAACGACGTCAACGATTTCATAGCGACAGCCTTTCCTTCAAATTCTGATGGAGTCTTATCATTTTCCCATGCGATGAACGATTCACACGAGAGAATACTCTGATCCGATAGTGCGCTAATTATTTGAAGTAGAACACCTGCAAGGAGATTTTAATCAAGACTAGATTCAGACCTCGTTATCGCTGTGAGAACGGGTAGTGTCAGTACCATAGGCACTAGGGGGGAGGGGGGGGGCAATATTCCCAAACGTCCCGTAAACAATGCAAGTTCGAAAGTTGACACTACTTACCGGACGGGTGTTCGATTTTATGTATATACGCTTGAATAGCAAAGAGGCATTGTAGTTCAAGCTTGTCGTTCGCATCCACGTATCGCTGTATCAGCGTTTCTAATTCTTTGAATGTTTCCATATTTATCCTCCTATTTTGTTCTGTAAGAAAAGGTAGGATTATGGTTATGAAAGAGGAGGTTACACATTGAAGTACTTAATATTAAAAGTTAAGGTGGTCCCGTTGATAACGCACAACACAAGATAAAATTCTAAATTTATATATATTGTATTATTTATTGTTGAACTTAAAATCTTGGAATTTACTTCAATGTTTGTTTAACCCGCGATTCCCTGTTATTATTATGATTGTCATCACCAAACCACCTTAATATGTTTCACACTACACTCACCAATGGACACTTCTAAAATGGCAGTCACGAGAACTCTGATAAATTGTGGCTCTTTCGCTCTGTCGCCTACGTTTGCCTAGGAAATTAACAAAGAGATATTGTGATGTAAAAAATTGTTCAATAGTATCGACGTGGAGGCATTTTGAATAACTAGACTTTGCATTAGATTTAAATACTCACGGTAATCCAACTACAAATTTCATCGAAGCTATTTTCCTTCATTAAGTTCCTAAGTTGCTCGTGGATTTGCTCCATAGTTAATTGACTGCCAGAACCGGCTTCGAGGCTCTTGCAATCGCCAGTCAGGAACTCCAGTTTCTAAATTTTTACAAAAATTCATAATGCATTTCTACAGGAAAAACAAAAAAGAAAGCCAATACATTAGTCTATGTATGTATAATCCAGGGTTCACATGAGCTCACGAGTCTTCCATAGTACTGTGCAATATTGAATTGCGCTCGGTAACCTAGATTTTTACAGACACATCTAATCGTCGCTAGAAAAGATTTTACGTCGACTTACATAATCCTTAATTATCGCGTCGACATTTTCTCTCGACTCGTCGACGATATCACTCCATTTGAGTCCGCTTTGATCCCACTTGTCGGAAACCCATTTAGGGCCCTTGTCCCTGGATAGTTTCGCAAGTAGCTCGCCCATAAGTTTTCCAGCATGACCTTGACTTCTTAAGGTGGCCAGTGTCAACTTCATTTCGGACAATGGATGCGCTCCTTCCTCCACTACTTGCGCTAAAAGCAAGGAAGAACGAAAAAACAGTTAGACATATTCCATAATGAAATTAGACAAGGATTAATCACTAGAGATTCGTCAGGCCTGTTGAGCTTTTACATCCAGCACGATTGTCTACGGTGTAATGACGTGTCATCATAATAGGATAATCAAATAAAAGTGAATTTTCACTCCAAAGGAAATAAAATAGAAAATATGTAACGAAGTAAACAAGACTTACAAAAGAGCTCGGCGAAATAGGTCCAAATCTTAGGTATGTCGATGATCAGGTCATCCGCCAGTTCCAACACCTTTGAGAACCTGATAAGGGGGGAAAAAAGGCAAACAATTACATATACGTCATATAAAAATTAAAAAATCTTTTTATATGAAATAAATTGTTCAGTATCCTTTTGGCTAAAGAAAAACACGAAGATACCCTTTCTGGTATCTTTTCTCAATAATTAAAGTTGTCATCATATCAAATCCCACTTGCATCTCCCCAATCTATAAATTTTATTTATTATGACACTTGAATATTTTACTTACCCAGATCTGAAGAGTGTCAGTGGCAAAACGTTCTGCAGGATCAGTTGCGAGAACAGTTTCGAAACTCGTTCTCGGGCAGCAGTAGACTTCTCAAGGACTATATTGATCGACTCGCTCACAAATTTCGCAAGGAACGAACTGTCGAAGTTTTCTCGGATCTCCTGTACCGTGTACTGCCGAGTAATAAAGATTTTAGATACGAATATACCGGAGGTATTACAATTAAGCAATAATATAAAAGAGACTAGGATGTGAGATAGAGATCTGTCCGTTCATCGGTCTACTTGGTTTCAAAATATTGAATAAGAAATTCAGCACGTTCGAATCTGAATTCATGGAACATAGCGTTGCGGACCGACAAACAGATGTTGCGTATTCTTGCACGCCAATGACTCAAGCATCTCTCAGGAAATGTCAGAGATGGATCTAAGGAGCGTGCGTAGCTTTTTTTTGTTTGCTTTCATTTAACTTAGATCGCGGTACTAATATTTATAAAATCGAAAGTCATGTGTGCAAACTCACCTCGACATTGTATTCTGAGACGTATTCCTCCAGAATGGAAGATAGAATCTTTATGAACTTCTCCTCAGACATTGGCGGCTTATTACTGCTAGGTGTCGCAGGTTGTGGGGCGGCCTTTATCGTTGGAGGAGGCATGGAGATACTCTGACTCCTGGAGCCGTCGAGTAACGAGTTTTCTCTACTCGACGAACCACTACGGCTCATTTGATAGTTACCATTACGTGAGCTTCTGCCTTCTGTAAGATCGTATGGCGCCATTAGAATATGCCTCAGTAATAAATCGTGACATTAATTATTAATCTTTGTAAAATCAGTATCCTTTTGGCAAAGCAACATAAAGTACCATTTTCTCTTGGCCTTTTCAAATGCAAATAAATTTGTCATCATGTTCAACGTGTGAAGATTGTTTTAACTAATTTTCTAATTAAATTTTTGTTATGATACAATGACTATCTTACCATAGGAAGATTTGTAGTCTGTACGTCCGTACTCTCTGGGGCCGGTTGACCTCGATCTGTAACATTAAAAATTTGCTAATATCAATATCGTTTAATCGATGTTCTTTAGTCGTTTAGAGATATAGTGTATTATCAGAATTGTTAAAAAAATCACGGGACATGTTAGAAGATTCAGAAACTCCAGTCTGGCATGACATTAAAAATATCATCATAGCTGATACATTTTATTGATAAAGAGACTTGTATATTGAGAAAATATATGATGTCAACTTACCCAGAGAGTTGCAACGGCATTCGTTGTTTATCCTGATCGGAGGTATCCAAGCATGCATATTTGTTAGGTGTGATAGTTTTGGAAATCGGGACGGGGTTCTTCCACATATACACATTCCTACTACCTAGCTGAAGATCGTCCATAGGAGGCTGTCGTAAAAGTGACGAAAAAGAAATGAGTTACAGAATAAAACCTTTTTAAAAAAAAAATAAGAAACATTGAAAAAAAAACACTCACAGGTTTGTTTTTCAATTTAGAAGTTTCTACAGAGTAAGGTTGTCTAGTTCTGCTAATTGGTTGACTCCAACCATCTTCAACTGAACCACCGATGGCGCCTGAAATAAAGAAATGAAAAGTATATTTAAAAATTTGTTCCTCGAGAACGACACAATATCGATATAAAAACGGAAAATAAATATTATAATGAAGGAAGCTATCAGAATTTGTTGTACAATCATGTTGATTCAGAAACTCCAGTCTGGCATGACATAAAGTATCATCATATTTCACATTCCATATAGAAACATTACACACATTCTTTTTTTTTAATTCATCAACTTACGGTTTCGTTTTCTATCATTGTTTCGATCGTCTTTTCGTGGTGTGTTTAGAGGAGTGTTATTCAATTGCATATCTAATCGTTCGGATTCCGCTTCCTTTTGAATTTGGTCTATCGTCTTAGGATTGCTATCGTCTCTCCTTGGCACCCATTTGTTCGCCCTCAGGTCTATCACATCTTGAAGCATAAAGCGAACTCTCGAGCTCACTTTACCAGGACCCTTTTGATTCGCAATTTTTCGCATTTGTTCAAAGTAAGGCGAGAGGTACTATTGTGTAAAAAAAAAAAAAAATTAATTTACAATTCATAGATCATTAAAAGTCATCTAGAATTTCGCTATAGTTCAACTAGGAGTGTACGTACCGACGGTCCCTTAGATTCTAAACCTTTTCCAACGGTAGTTAGCAATTTACATAAGCATTCTAAACTCTCCTCGTCAGGCTGACTCAACAAATGTTGAATACATGTGTGCATGATCTTGGATGTCAACATAGACTGCTTGAAAAGCTCACCGATGAACCTAAAAAATAATATTGTTATTATTCAACATATTCGCTTAAAACATTATGCTTCACCCATATGTTATAAGTAAAATGTGCAATCTTACCTAATATTACCGACTGATTTGACACGTATCCGACGTTCTTCTTCTTCGAAGGTCGCCTGTAGTTCCTTTTTCTTGTCCTAAGTGTCAAGGAAAAGAAAATTAGATTCATGAATGGAATGAATAACCAAGAGCCGTAAGGAATTAAACAAAGGTCAAACGGGAATCTTACAGGATCCGTGCATTCTTCGATTTCTTTGAGTTTCTGCACTCGGGCGCTCTCATCGGCAGAGTTCTTCTCGAACTCCATTTGACAACGTGTAATAATTAATTTCCTAAAGTTACCACTGCTTTCCTGTCTTCCAGATAACGTCTTTTTGTCGCCACCATTAACTTCCATCATACCAAGTTCCTTACACATGAGAGCATACGCGACGGAAAAGCTGGGTTCGTCGACGGCCTGCACAATGGATGAATACCATTTTTTTTTTGTTAATTTTTGCTTGTTTGAAAATAATAAAAATCTGTTGAACTGCGATGCAAATCGCTTGACTTATGAAGTTTTGACATACCTTTTCAAAGACCAAGTCAATGACGCCCTGCAGTTTTTCTTGGGTATCGATGGGCAGCGACCTTACTTGACCAACTAATTTATCGAATTTCTCTGGAGTGAGCTTATTTAATACACCGCGTACTCTCTTGTAGAGGTCTTCGGTTTTACCATCCTCCTCTGCTATGTCACCAGACTTCAATCGAGCCGGCCTCCATGCGTTTTCAGTTTCCCGAAGCTTGACATCCTCGCGCAGCGAGAGTGAAACGTGAATCACGTTAGGCTTATTAGTCTTGGGCTTTCCGGGATGACTCCGCTTGTTAAGGGGTGGCTGAATGTAAAAAGAAGAAAATATGATTGGAGATGACTGAAGAAAAAATTATGAATATGATTAACGTACATAGATGAAAAATAAATTCTTATCAGATTATAGTTTGTCTGTCAAAAACTTTTCAGTCCACTACTTTCATATTAATAAATCATCATCGAGAAATCCATGAATAATCGAGGGTAAAATAAAATATTCGCATCATCAAAATAAACTCACCACCCTTGTATTCATGGGTCCTTTCGCAAACCCAGGGAACAGGAGATCGTGTCTACCGAAGCTCGGATCCTTGAACTGTTTAAGATCCATTGTGCTGCGACTCTGCAAAGGCAATTAAGAAACGTAGAGATAATTAAAAATAAAAATACATTTTGGTATACTATTCTCCACAAGACTTCAGTCAACGACGTACCCTGGTATTATCCTTAAGGACAACTTCTAGGTCCGGCAGATTTAAAGGTTTAATTTTACTATTTGGATCCTCCTGGAGGTTCATGAGGAACTCCCTGTCGTAGACCTTCTTTCCGCTCATATTGAGTGGACTCCACTGATCGTCCTTATATGTATATTTTAAAGTGGGCTGCCCTTTGGGAGTGCTATCTATTTGATTAGGCGGTTCATTTTCATTCTGTTTCTCAATGACCGGCGTTTCCGGTTGTTGCTCCCTGCTAGTAGCGCCAAGCGCCGAGACCTTCGAGTTCTCCTCATTCTTTTGCGCCACTATCACAGATTCCAGCTCAATCTCGTCCGTGATCTTGGCATGATCAACGACGTCATTCGTGGCAGTTTTGACTGGCATTTTACAGACCTCCTGGGTCTTGGCGTTATCCTCAATCGTAGGACTTGGCTCCTTGAATTGTTCCTTATTGTTTGGAATAGCAACTGGTTTCTCAACAACAGGAGATTGCTGAACGGGTGTGCTTTCCTTCGGAATCTCAGGAGCGACGACAACACTCTCTGTCTGAGACGTTTGCTTCTCAGACTCCTTATCTTCTTTCTCTTTTGCCTCCCTACTTATCTCCTTGACAGCTTCATTGTTGCTATCCTTGGTAGGTTCGATATCCTTGATTTCCTGTGGCTGCTGCTGCTGTTTGATCTCAGGTTTTGCTGTAGGTGCCACGTTCACGAAAGCATCCATGTCTGTACCTTCCTTCTCGGCCCCTTTGCGATTGATATCGCGCTTGAGTTTGCCCTTGTTTTTCTGCTTTTGCGTGGCTTTACCTGAGGAATAAAGAGACAAGACAAAAATTACATAATGCACAAGTTCTCTGGCCGACCATAAAACACAATCCATTAACTCCTACGTAATTTCATCTGCATCAGGAAACGTCGGCTCGATTATTAAGCGCGTATGCGAGAGCAACAGTGAAAATTTATGAATATTGATCAGAGTGATTTGCGATGAATCATATACACTTTTATAACGTGTGATCTGACCGGTGCGCACGGTGGAGTACAATCCCATGACTGTGTAACCAACTTTTAGTACATGAAGTCACTACAGGAATGCCTATGAAATTGTCTAACGTCGACGGGTATCAATTGGGCGAGGTGCAAGCTGGGAAGAAAAGTGAGTGTGCCGGCTGCCAGCCAAGGATAATTATAGACACCGGTCGTAGCACAGCTCTCCGAAGACTTTTTACTTTTACACATGCCACCACATGGGCATTCCGACTGTTCGCATTTAGACATTTCCAACTGTAACGCCCGTTTAGGCATGTACGAACTGTCCAGGAATCCGACTTGCACACACTTAAGAAAATTCACAAATATCCATATACCAAAAAAGAACCTTCATCCAACCTGGCGCCTCGTCTCGTACATTTGACCAACGATTCACAGAGACAAAATAAGATTCGTACGTCACTCTGATCCACACACAACTAAAAAGCTGTCCTCAATTAATGAGCACGTACTAGACGACAATTTATCATTGCGTAATGCATTTTCAAAGTGAGTTTCCTCGATAATCTAAAAAAAGCCAGATAAGATCATTCACAGTAGCAACGGAGGTCCCGATCCCTGGCGAGCGTGCCAAATCCTTCCACGGACATGGTCAATGGAAATTCGAGCGGATCAGAGAAAACAATGGTCTCAACGAATGTAAATTGACTGGTAGCCAAAATTCTAATACCATCCATTTTTCTCAGGCACAACCATGTCCCTCGCCCAGATATTACATTGCACGAAACAAGCAAGGGCCCAAAAAAAATGCTAAAACCACAGATTCGATTCTCACTCAGACCCGACTATCGTGACCGGTACTGCAAGGATAAGAGACAAATAAGGATATCAAAAACAGCACTGGACAAGGAAGTAAAAAAAAAAAAAAAAAAAAAAAGAAACAGAGGTAAAAACTGAGATTAGTTTCTGCTCTAACCATGATCTCTGGAACCACGTCGATTGCGACTTCTTGATCGCGAGCTGTTGCTGGCGCGGCCGGCGCAACTCGTTCTCCGTTCGCTCATTTTTTTTTTCCCCAGTCTCGTTTCTCTCCCTTTATCGTCGTCCGTTTTGGTACGCTATTCGCACATGACAGCGGTAGCCACGGAGTTGGTTCTCCACTGACGTTCCTTAATGGTTGTCACTACAGGGTGTCCCCGGTCGAGATAAAGAATAATATCCTTCGCAGCTCGGGTTTCATCGGCCCGAAAGGCAGACTGCTGCACTGATTCAGTATTTATTTATAAAACCATCAGGTCCCTGCCAACGACGATGTAGGTAAGGCACCTCTACCTCAGTGCGTGCAACGAGACGTAACGGCGCGTAGATCATTCTACGAGAAATTTATCAAAAAAAAGTTTTCAATGTCTCTCTTCTCGGAGCGACAGAGAGAAGCGCCCTCGACCGGAGTCAAACAATTGCTGCCACTCTCCCTTCTTTTTACCCGCAATTGCGCTTCTCGAGAAGGAACCCGGCGAATTTCAATTAAAGCTTTATTCGATGATCGATGCGGGTCGAAGGGCGTCTTGTCTCACCCTCTGTCTCTCTTTCTTTTTCTATCTGTCTATCAATCTCTTTTTCTCGACAGCAAGCACACGAATAAACGACAGACTACGGCTCGGTGCAGCAAACGATCGGGCAAAGACTCGTTGAAAAAGTCTCTTCCGATACCCCCGAGGGAAATATCCGCGCGACTTTCACGTGTCTATTTTAACCTGCGAACTGGCGCAAACCGAAAGGCACGGCATACAAATTCTTAAATTAGTCGCCGTCCGAACGGGTGGAGCACGCGCATTCGGCATCATTCCGTCTAGATGTCTAACCTAACCTAACCGTTCGTGAAATTTACTCCGTGGTCGATCGTGCTGCCACGAATACGTTAGACCCCGGTACTAAGAGAGGAGGAGTTTTTCCACGGGTGATAGGTCCATTATTTTAACCAAGTCCTACTAACGCCATCTCACGGTCGAATTCGTTAATGTAGCCAAGTCGCCGCGTAGCGGGGATTAGGAATTCGTTATCTGGTGAAGGGAAAGCACGGGAGCGTAACGGAACGAATGACAGATATATATACACATGTATATCTCTCTCAACGTAACGATGACGTACACGCCGTATTTACTCATTACGTTTCTGAACTCCTGAAAATGCATTGTTTCGCTCGCAACTAGTCGAATAAAAAAAAAACGTACTGCAGTGACATCTCTCGGAATTTTGTTTTCAGAAGGTAATTCCGAATGCATATTAACGAGTGATAATTCGTAACTGATATAGCCATTGGCACAGAACACGGTAATTGTATCAGTATAATCTAATTCATGAAAGTTAGATTGAGTAAGAACTCGTAAAAGCAGGTCGAGGCGGCTGTCTGGAAGAAGTGTGCAGCAGCGGCAGCTGTTAACTAGAAACCACGCGGATCTATTATCTAACACTTCACTAGCGCGAAGAACAAATGGCGGATTCCCCCTGACACAGTCAGTTAATAATCAGGGTGCGAAGAGCACTAGTCCTAAATAACAAGATTCGCGTCATGAAAATAACAAAAGAACAGTGTGACGCACGAGCAGATAAAAACAAGGGGTGCAGTATATCATCGAGAAAATTAGAATTTTCATAATGAAAGGAGAAAAAGAAAAGTAAAAGTTATATATCAATGGCGCGTTATCGCGGCCATTTTGTGTACGGGAGGAGCGGCCACGCGGTAGAAATTTTTAAATACGTTATCAAACGAGACTGTGCCCCAGAAGTGGTTGTTATCAGCAATGATTTCCGAGGGTCATGCGTGCCTCCTTATCGCAGGCACACAAGTTGCGCGTTACGTTCGTAAATTTGAGAAATAGTAACCCAATGCGAGAAACGCGGTATCTCGTTTTACGTGAGCATCCGCGCAGCTGCATGATGGATCCAAGAAATTATACGTGACGCTGCACGAACGTATGATTGGCATTTTGTCATTGAGCACAGCCAGAACTTCCGTACGAAAAATAACTCAATAATCGTACACGCGCGAGATGTAAAGTCGAAGAGAAGAGACAAAACGAGCGCACGAAAGAGAGAGAAAGAGAAAGAACAGAGGCAGCGGATCATGATTTTATTCCCCGTATCTAAAACAGTCTCTCGTTTCCCACTAGAATAAAAAAGAATAACAAGTAAGGCGCGCGCGCGACAGAGTGTGCCCGTTAGTCCGAACGGGTGGGCGTTAAATAGCACCCACCGTATATTTTAAGAAGAATCTTTAAAAGCCAGAGACCGCTAAAACGTGCAGCTACATTTGCGACAGTGATGGCCGAAAATGTCCTATTATGAAAAAGCGTCACCGAGACTTTTTGGCCCACGCGACTGACTTGACATTTCGATCTGACTCGCCCGGCAACAGCATCTGGTAAATAAAGCACAGTGGCGTACGAGTATCGCTCGCCGTCTCTGGAAGCAGGTATTGACGAGTGTGTGTCAACTAGACGCGAAAGTGAACGTTTGAGATACCCTAGGTAATCGGTGTCCTGGACAAGGGAGTGCGTCCACGAGAATACCAAGAGGAACAAACAAGCCGTCGCTAAGCGAGAGGTTAAGTCACCGATCCGACTAGGGTAACAAAATAGCATATAGTACAACGAATACGAAGTTGGGCGTGTGCTGAAAGGAAGGCGCGGCCATGACCTGGTGCATCCTGCCAGCGAAGCGCGTACACGAGCGGATACCTCGGAGGAAACGACATCGACGTTAAGAATCTTGTGAAATTGGACGTCTGCAATCCGGCATAAGGAGCAACAGCGTGAACGTAGTCATCGGTGTAAAGAACAACGAAGAAGAAGAGACTTCTGGGTATTAAGTCGTACGAGAGAAAGGTTCGGGCGAGACGGGAATGGATGCTCGTGATTTTTCAGGGTTCTTGAAATTATTCCCAAGAAAATCGAGATAAGGACCGCGTGGATTTTTCAGACTCTTCGAGGAAGATCCACATAGCACTAGAGGTCGCACGGACAACCACGAAACGATGAGTATACTGAGAAGGGGAAACAAAATTTTGTCGCAATGCGTCTTTACCAGGAGGATCCATTTTTTCCCAAAAATTTTAAACAGACCTATAGATCTGTTCAACCTGCTAGACGACGAGGTCTCTCTTATGAAAATCTTAATATATCGAAACTAGTGGATAAAGAGTTGCTGGTACGAAAATAAAACCGGTCCTGCTGTGTGGGAACGAGCACACCCACGAGGGACTACGGCAAGCCCCATACGGTTGGTTCGGCTACTGATATACGTATATATATATATATAATATATATACATATAGTCGACTATGATTCTCTCTCTCTTTCTTTCTCTTCATCGCTCACCAGCTAATTCTCGCGCTTCTTTCTGCTTGTTAGTATATCCCCCCCCC